ACATTTTATATTGTATTTGTTTAATTTGAAGATGTATGTCATGTATGTTAGGATAATTTCATGTTTCCCATCGGGTTCCTTGACATAGAAAATTAAAAACAGGTACAGATACCTAGATCCTGGTAATCGTGGCACGTATAGCCATTTTATGGCAAAGAAATGCGTTTGTGGCAGCCATTTTGGATTAAATTTTTTTGGCGGGAAGATATGATAGATCACAATGTGTTCTATATCCGTTCCATGGGGTTCATTGACCTCAAAAACATATGTATAAAGAACAAGATCATGGTACTTGGTGCACTTACAGCTGATTTATGGGCAAAACTGTGTTTTGTGGTGGCCATTTTGAATTTTCAACTTTTTGGCGGGAAGATATATTTTATGATATTTGACAAGAGTTTTATTGCATTCTTTGACTTCAAAAACATAGGTATAGATGCCAAGATCATCGTAATCGGGGCACTTACAGCTGATTTATGGGCAAAAACATGTTTTCTGGTGGCCATTTTTGATTTTTTGGAGGGAACCGTTGGAGTAACAATCGTGTTTCCCGCAATTTTTGAAATCAGCATACTCAAAACCCGCCTAGAGCAAATTTTCATGCTTCTTTCCAGAAGTGCACACTTTAAGTAAAAAATGTCACATATCCGCCCCACTATAGACAAGAGCATAAAGGCAGAGATATGGACAGGTACAATCATAGCTCAACTTTCAATTATACCATTGCATGTTTCAGATGTTTTACTTCATCCTCTGATGCCCTGTATGAGTCTAATGCCTCCTGAACTGCCTCTGCTACAGCTGGAAATGGACTAAAAAGGAACACCTCATCGAATTACCACTATAACACTGTAGCATTTGCGGTGCTGCCACTCAGGATATTACAACAAGTGCCGCGGAGCGACAGCGCTCATCTAACGTCTACTGCGGTGACTCTGTGGTGGAGTGGTGGGATTCTAGTAAACCCTGTTAGTCCCAAATGTGATCACATACACGCCGAAACAGTGGAATGCACAGGGATGGTATCAGGAACCTTCTCAAAGGAATGTTCATGGGGATCGTTATGAAAGTTGCCACGAGATGGCGCGTACGTTTAAGTGTCTTCAGATTAAAGGAATAGTAGGTCCATCAATTATACAAAGTTGACGAATGCTACAGTAACTGGCACCTTGTGTAGTTAATAAGTACATTACCTTATAGCCAAACGCGTATTAGTTTGTCCAATATCACTGCTGGTTACAAAGAAATGTCTAATTGAAATCCGTAAATTTGGTAATCTGGCGCCAACGCTAAATTGCTTGCCAACCAAATAAGCCTCGATTTCGGTTCGGTGACGTCACATGTTGCTACAGGATGTTGAGCAGCGAATTGTTTGTCCCGGGTAAATTGTATGCCTAGTGACGGCAGTCGTAATCAGTATCGAGGCACAAGTAAATACCCTTGGTTGCTAATGAATGGGTACCCACATGTCTTCAATTTCGGACACAGGTGTATTCGTTTGACCAATATACGTAAATACGCATAGTGCCGTCTGCTTCCCATGTTTAGTCTGTGGCCGTGGTTAGTTCGCGATCCCCACATAGTGTTGGCCCCCAACATGCACAGCCTACTTCATTATCACAAGCGTCCGTGATTAGTACGTGTAGTCCACGTTCATTACAATCAGAGCTAGCGTGGGGCCTACTGTTACGTATACAGTTACGGCACTGTACTATCAGGATGGTACTATCGCTAGCGTGCAAGCTGAGCGGCAGCGTGCCAGCAGCAAGAGCTTGCAATAGCTGGAGATGATCTCCCAGTGCACAGAGATACTGCCTGAACGTAATATACACGGACGCTCGTGATAAGGTAAAATGACAAGGTAAGGATATAACGTTTTATCGGGGCTGTCCGTTTATAGTCCGTGGGTGTTCGTCAGTTTTCGTCCGTGTGTTCTGCACCATTTACGTGTTTCCCATTTCATAGTGTAATGAACTTGATGTACGCAGGCTCGTACGATTCATCAAATTGGGTTCTAATATCCTTTTCACATATTATATGTTGCTTGTAATCTAAAGATCTTCGTATATTCATTTATTCCCAAGAGTAAAACCATAACGTACGGAATGCGCACTCAGACCACAAGGATCGAAATCACTGACGGCTTGAGCATACGTGTGAAAATGTACGGTGCACTATAATCTGTATGACACCGCTTCGCCGGTTACAGCTGGTCATAGCCGGTATAGCGGGTTGAAACTGTCAACAACGGATTTATTTGACCGCGGATTTCAATTGGACATTTCTTAGTAACTAGCAGTGATATTGGACAAACTAATATGCGTTTGGCTATAAGGTAATGTACTTATTAACTACACAAGGTGCCAGTTACTGTAGCATTCGTCAACTTTGCATAATCGATGGACCTACTATTCCTTTAAAGATTGAAGCTCCCATCGTACGTAGTAGCAACAACTTTGCAAGACAGAAAGGTAAGCACTCATCCATTTACTACGCAAGCCTACAGGCTGCAATAAAGAGCTGCCACCTGTAACCAATTAACGCAGGCAAAAATACACAGTACCACCACCACATGCACTGGCAGTGGCCACTGCAGTGGCATACGTTACATGTAACATACTGACAGTACAGAAGCATAGAAATTATACGATTTAAGGAGCATTAAACCTTCTTCAACCAAATTTAGCTTTGAAATTTCACTTGGACATTGTAGCCTCATACATCCAGGCATGTATAGATTCTGCTAGCAAACCCGCAGGTCAAATTTCTTCTAACAGACAGTAAACAGTCCATGTTTAAACCTCTCTGCAGGCGTCAAAAGGTTATCCGACACTGTACTCTTCGCATGTCAGCAGAAGGTACATTTCATGCGTCTTTCAATAAAGCCACTAAAAAATGCTAGGTCACTGCTGAAACAAAAAAGTTTTCAATCGCTCCGTCAGACCATGTCCTCAGAAAATGTCTAAAATCTTCCTGTGCCCATTGACCTTTGACCTGCTGACCTCCAATTTCAGCACAGTGATGGCTTTTCCTACCATGATGCTATACACCGACTATCACGAGCCTAGGTCGGAGCCGTTTAGATTTGCTGCCGAATTTGCATTTCCTCCCTATACCTTAAGGTAAGGAGGAATGTTCCTTCTTTTACACCTCTTGACCTTTGACTTTTGACCCCAGCTTCGACATCCCAACTCGTTTTGACGATCCCCCCGACGTCCCGAATATCGTGACCATACGTCGAGCGCGTTAAGATTTGTGCCAACTGTTGACGCCACGGACGCACGCACGCACGCACGGACGGACGATCGTGCGATTCTACAAGCTGCATGTGACTTCGTCAGATGAGCTAAAAAAAAGTATAAAATCTCTCCAGAAAAAAGTATCAAAATTGTCTAAAATAAGTATTAAAAAAGTATAAATTTGTATCAACCCTACCATGATTTATAGTCACTTGTTACCCTATTATCTATACCTTATTATCGAATACATTATAGCCTATGACATAATGTGCAGCATGTAAACAAGCTTCAGGAACGATGCGTGCAATGTCTTGAGGAGTTGTCTCTCGAACCCTCAGTTTGGAATATGCAATGCAGTTCCTTGGCCAGAAAGGTCTGTGAGGCAGTAAATTTGTTTGTGGTGTTTGTGTTTCAAGGTCCTAGCAACGCAAGGAGTGCCTGTCCTGGGTGAGCTAGGAGGTGCGGGGGCATGCCCCCCCCCCGGAAATTTTTGAAAAAATGGTGCAATTTGGTGCATTCTAAGCTATTCTGGACACATTGTATGAGACTCTTGAATCTTTTTTTCAAATTGCCAAAAGTTTTGCTCAGCGAGGCGTTTTTTGACAAATTTCAGTGTGGCGGCTGAGAATTCTGAGAGCGAGGCGGCCCGCCTCGCTTTGTGTCAATGCGGGAAACACTGCAATGCTCTGTCATTTGGTAACTGGCAGCAGAGAGCTGAGAGCAAAAACACTCCACTGAACAGAGCAAACCATCACTTCTGCAACAAGACTATCAAAGCACATCTTTAATCATCAAATATAGTGTACATAAATGTAAGTCCGAAGAGTTTTGACCATCTTTGGCAAAAAAAAGTATTGAAAACTATTTATGCATGAAAAAAATATGAAAAAAGTATAAAAATTTATTTTCTGAAAAAAAGTATACTTTAAAGGCCTCCTTTAGTGATGAAAAATAGTTACATATATCAAATTAACTATGTTTTGTACAACTACTAAGAAATTTACAGTTAATGGTTTTCGGGTGTATGAGAAAAAAGCATTTTTTGATGAACACAATGTTAAGATTTGCGGGAACGCAAAAGCGCCACACTACTTTGGCGCATGACGTGGTGTGACGTCAGGCTAGGCACTAGCTCTCGCTTGTTTACTGTTGCCAAGCGTGTACAATGGAGCCTGTACAATGTACAATGTGAACACCGATTCAGAGTCGTCTCTAGACTAATATCAGTTTCGTACGATACGGATGAGCAGTCAATCAGATTGATAAGATGAAAATGAAGTAGCATAGACAATGAAGTTAAACATGTTGAAGATAGTTGTATTTCAGCTGGCCGTACAGTTTTGAACCGTGGCCAACGATTACGCTAGCCCGACCAGGTGTGCGACGGATTGTTTATACAACGGACGGAATGGATATTCTAATCCTCGCAATTACCGTTTTGGAGCTACGATTACCCTGGCATGATTTAAGCAACCGTGCCAAGGGAAACGTGCGATGCCTTGTTCATGTTCGTTGCAATGTTCAAGGCGCACGTCGAACCAGCAGAAGGAAGACTGCTGAATGGTGAGTTTAGCTCAGTATTCATTGTAGGTACTAGGTGTACTATAATCAGGAAGCGTATACTGACATTATTACGCTCCTGACATAATGAAAATGTTTTGCTTTCGGTACAAGCTTAAATAGGCTGAGCAAGTTTTTCCAACAGATATGGCAACTGTCAGATTTCCCTGTCTACAGTACTGTCTAATTTTCTAAATAGAGTAGCCTCAGTTCTACAGACTTACCTAGGCCTGAGCTAAAGAAAGCAAAGCTGACAATTAGTCAATAGTAAATGCTTTTAGCGTACCGTAGTGGAAATTATGACAGGACTTAATACGTAGATATTGTATGCACATTGATAATAGTAACAATGTATTTCACGTGTAATCGGGATGTTAGTAATTGTATCGTAAAACTCATGTTACAGTACGAGTATAATAATCAATATTGAGATGTAGTGTGTAACCCTGAGCTGTCAGCTGCTAACGTAAAAACTACCGCGGTCCACGAACAACACAGGAAGTAGAACCAAAAACCCGTAATTGCGTTAATTTGGTATACACTTGGAGGCAGATTGGCCATGAGCTGAGTAACGGCAGCATATGAATATGAGTTGGAACGATTTTATTGTCCTGAGGTATTAATGTGGTTTAATCGTAGCGTAAAAGTCTACAATGATATATGGTATATAGTATACTATATATTATCATGCTCATGATGATTAATATGGCCAGTTGGATGATTTAGATGCCCAATATAAGTTACAGCGAGGCTAGCTTTGCTGCTCATGCACTGAGTGCAGGCTTGTGTGCGGCGCTACGCGGCGGAGAACCTAGCCTGACGTCACAGGCCGTTTTCCCACCTGGTGGCCGGTTTGGCAGAATAAATGATTTTCAACATTCATAGACCCAACATCAAGACGTGTTTTAAATATCACAGAGGCAACCAAAAAATATACGAATGCTTTCAGTATTTACGTGTTGATACTAGCTTCAAATAATTGTAAAAATTTGACAGTTTAGAGATATCACTAAAGAAGGCCTTTAAAAAAAGTATAAAGTGGAAGCACTGCATTCGTCAGCTTCCAATTCACCTTTCTATCATATTAATCGATTATGATACTAATCTATCTATAAAGAAATGTGCAATCTTATTTCCAAAAAGATTTTACTAAAATATATCAAAGAACGTATTGGAATGAAAATGTCAATGACACCGTAGCTCACGTTGGGTGTGATAGAAGAGGGAGGGGGATATATAAAGCAAGATTATATATGGGAGAACTCCCATTATATATAATATAGCATATCTCCCATTATATACTCTTGATAATGATATATGCATAAGTTTTGATGCGAAAATAAATGTTTCAGATCTGAGTCTGAAATCTAGGTCGACTGGCGTGCCCCAAAATAGGAAATTCAAATCTTTCCCATAGGAGTAACAACTGTATTCAATTTGAAACATGTGGGTAAAACGGTTCTTGAGTTATCGTTGACCGTAGGCAGACACTGAAATGGATAGTAAAATTGCCAAAATCTACCTAATTTGCATAATTTAAAAAAATATCAAAACCCGTGTGATATGTTTTGGGGCCAGTCCTTATTCATTCACATACTAGAAATGAGCAAAATCCGTTGAACTTGAACTGACTTATGGCCATTTACTTTTTTGCCAAAAAGTGGACGTGGCTCGAAAGTAGGTCGACTGGCGTGCTCCAAGGACATTCAAACCTCTTCCATAGGCGTAACAACTGCATGCAATTTGAAACATGTGGGTCAAACGGTTCTTGAGTTATTGTTGACCATAGGCAGACACTGAAATGCATAGTGAAATTGCCAAAATCTACCTAATTTGCATAATCAGGGTCTCCAACCCTGTGAACTCCAAATGCGGAATGAAATTGATGGACGGGGGGGGCGAAATTAACCTTGGCTGCCGCAGGCAGGCCCGCGTGCCGTAGGCATGCCAGTGCTAGGGGGGTATGGGGGCATGCCCCCACCATTATTTAAGCCATTTTCCTGCAATCTGAGGCATACTGTGGGCAATATTCTCATGTCTGATGACACTATCTCAACCCTAGACTCAGCCCTACAAGTTAGGATTCAAAACACTTTTCATGACTTTTCAGAGAGCGTACACACCTGAGGTTAGGTTACTATAGTAATAATACATGTATTAAAACACAGGTAAGAATTGCAATTTCTCACAATTTCACGTGTTTTTGTATGTTTGCAACCATACTTTTTGGCTATTTGTAAGTCTGGAAACATTTTCTTGAAGAGTTCATTTGCATGGTCTGCCGCCCTCAAAGGCACATTGTGTTCAATTAAATAATACGTAAATCTCACTTCTGCGTCAAGACAGGCAATTCTCTATCTGCTGCAAAGAAGCTTGATATATTGGGTGTAGATTCCACAGCACCCGCATAGCACTTATGCTTTTGAGAGACTATATGCCTCTGGCAGTCACTCCTTCCTCCGTGCCCAACTTGAAAGTCTGTCTTGCATACCATGCAATGGCCATGATTAACACTGAGTTTTGACTTCACAAGTACAGGCCACATCTGTGTATATTCGTTCCTGAATTTCTGTAAAAGTCTGGTTTTTTGGATGGCAATGGCAATTGGACGCCATTCTCCCCACGTGTTAATCTGATTAGCAGACAAACTACGCGACACCTTGCAGACAGCAGCAGTGCTCAATTTTAACAGTCGTCCGGTCGTCCGTGACGGCTGGATTTTCTCTCGGGCAACTACAAATTGCTTCCGTGGTTGTCCGGTGTCCAACCTCTAAATTAATTTTGAATTATTTTTTTTTTAAGTTGTTAATTTTCAATTTTTGCTCATCTGTGACTTGACACAGTGTTAATGTAAATGTTATGAAATAAATTTCATGCAAGTTTTAATTACTATTATTATACGTCATTGATCCCAGCATCATTTACCACATTACCAATATTTTATTCTCTTCATATAATGAGTGAAACAATGCGAATGGCCATGTCTGCTGTCACTGCAATACGTACAAAATGTACATGATTAGGCCTTTTGCTGCATCTCCACTGCACCAGCGCGTGGCCAGTGCCAGGCACCGGCTGAAAAAAAAACAATGTGTCCAAGCGAACAATGCGAACAATCAGTGCAAATTTTATACAGTGCAACTGAAATAAGGAATATAACCTTGCTGCTGCGGAATGCGGAAATTAAGCCTAGAAATCGTAATGATTCCGCAGAATGCGGAATGGTTGGAGACCCTGCATAATAATAAAAAAAAATAAAAACCTCTGTGATATGATTTGGGGCCAGTCCTCATTCATTCACATACCAGAAATGAGCAAAACCCATTGAACCTGAACTGACTTGTGCCCATTTCCATTTTTGCCAAAAAGTGGACGTGGCTCGAATGTAGGTCAACTGGCGTGCTCCAAAATAGGACGTTTAAACCTCTCTCATAGGAGTAACAACTATATGCAATTTGAAACATGTGGGTCAAACGGTTCTTGAGTTATCGTTGACCATAGCCAAATGTTGACGGACGGACGTACACCCCATAGCAATAGCTCATCTTGACGATGTCAAGGCGAGCTAAAAATTCCGGGAATCACATAAAAAAAACTGTTCAGTCTGGTTTCATATGTGTAATTGGTGGTGGTGGTGGGGGGAGCTGGTCAAAAACAAAAACCAAGACAATTTAATAAGACCGCAGTGAGAGACCACTATATAAATACTCTATTAGTCTAAGTGCACTGTAAACTATAATAAGCAATATAAGCATCCACGGTAACCCTTACAAATCAGTGTTTGAATTTCACCTCTACTCAGGAGTAATACAAAATAAGCAATGGTTTTACCTTGCTTTCTGGGCAGCCCAGAACTTATCATGCTGGCCAAGATCATATATTTTCTTTTTGCGATTGGTCTTAGCCCCTGCATGCCCACTGGGGGTTGCTGCTCCTTCCTCCACAGTGATTCGATTTAACTGCAGGTCCTTTAGGAAAAGTCAAGTCATCTTCATTCACATTTGGCCTAGGAGAACATTACATCCAGCAAAGACTACACTAAAATTACACCATACTCGGTACTTCTTGTGTGCACTCACAGGTTACTGGTAAATATTACCAACTTATTTAGCAGGATGTGCACCAGCACTAATAGTGAGGTATTGCTCACCAACACATCATGACCCAGAGCTTGGTAAGTCCATGTATGATGCAGCATTGTTGCCAGGTCCAGATTTCTATCCAAGATCACCAAGAGTGGGCGTTGGAAGCTACAATAGAAAATAATGAGGCATCACTATCAATGACCAACTTTACAATTGAAATTTAAAATGATTCTCTAGATAGATAGTTGGTAGCATTCGCTACAGAATTAACTTATTATAGTAATTGAATCTTTTATTAAATATTTAATATCTGTGTTATACTATGAGTACTGAAACTGTCAATGGTAACAACTAGTAACAGCTACAATGAGAAGGAATCAGGGCAATATGATGCTCCCACCTGAACTGCCCTGACTGTAAACTCTCAGCAGCAAACAAGCTACTCCTTGCATCTCTAAGATTCTCTCGTAATTTCTTATCCAGTTTCTGGTGGAAGTCAAAAACTATGATAACATAATATGCCACATATTTATCAGATACGTTTTAAATTTAAAGCAGGGGGGTCATGCCCAACCTGTTGTCCATACACAATAAATATATGCAGAAATACATTACTTTCTAATTTTTATCATTGTTAACATGTGATGTTTAACTACACATAATATATTATTTCGACTATAACATACTTAATCCATTCTTCCTATCAAGTGTAGTCTGGAGAATTACTACTAGTCTTTATATCAATTATATCATAAAATAGTTGAAATACCTCTGCAACCATTTCTGCAGCATTCCCTCTTGGACAACGTATCACCGGAACATTTCCTGCACAATACGTTATTGTCAGATATTTAATTAAGTACAAATATCTGTCTATTTATTCATATGTGCACCATGCACACACCTATCCATCTGTCCAGACCTATCATAATCATACAATTGCAAATATTTGTATGTAACTAGTGAACTTGTGTTTGAGGCTTCAAAGAATGCTGCATAGTTGCCTAATGTGAAGGCAGCAATTGCTCATCAAATGTTGCCCATCTGGCCCTACATCAACATGTAACACAACTAACTTTCTCACCTAGTGTGACAAACACAGAGAATAGACTGTCAACAATCATATCCATTATCTGCTCCATTTCCGTGTCCTTTACGTCACCTCTGTTAATCGCTGAAAAAAAGATAACAAAACGTGAATGATGCATCAGACTAAAGTCCAATCTAGATTTTCACACTTTAGACAATGTTAGAACTGATCTGAACAAGTATTTCTCACATTGACACAAAAACCGCAATGTACACTAGGGTTAATATTAGACACAGATTATAGATAACTAATGCAATAGTATCGGTATGATGACAGGTTAACCAGCCCTGGTACAAATAAGGAGAAAAAAAGAGATGGTTCACAGGACCATCTAGTTTGAAATTTAGATGGTCCTCCTAAATTTCAAATTGTTCTCTAAAAGTAATGCGGCGTGCAAGCGTAAGAATAAGATTTTACAAGGTGATGAAATGGCTTAATTATTCACCTACAACAGTGTTAGAGCTTTAAAATAAAAACCTCTCCCCGAACTGGGCGAGTGAGTCAATAAGTTAACTTGCCCAAACTCGCCCAAATTTTAAAACAAAAATGCTTGTCAAACAATAGTGAACAAATAGACTATGGGGATGGGTTCAGGAAGGGGTCCCTGATTAGCCGGGGTCCGGGGGCCCTCCCCCGGAATAAAAAAAAACACCTCTTAGATGCAATTTTCTGCACTCTGAGGCAGCATTTTTAAACAATCTTCATCACAAAAATCTCACTTTTGAGTTGAGTATTTTAATCTTTGGGGACACCAAAAGAGAAACATTCTCTTAAAAAAAGAGAAACATAAACTTCAAATTGCTGAGGGTTGAACTGCTCAGTCTCTGCCAAGTTGTGCAAGTACAATGCTAAGGCAAAGTAATGTGGTTAATAAATTAATCTATCTGCCAACTGAATTAACACAGGCCTCGACACTTAATTATTTTCAGATCTGTACAAAATTTACTTGCAATCTATGAGCCGTTAAGGTCCTCTTTTGGTTCAGTGCATATCATATTACCAGGAGTGTATAATATAGAGATCTATATTATATAAATAGATAGATAGATAGGTATAGATATATATATATATAGATAGATAGATAGATCTATATATTATATATAGATATATATCGATATTATACACTCCTGATATTACAATATATACATGGAAAATCGTAATGAAATTCACGTTTATTTTTGCGGGCCGGCACGCTTATTGTGTGTCATTCCCGATTGCAGCTTTTTCCTCAATTCCAGGAAAGAATTTTGATGTCGTCCTCTGCTCCCAGCGGTGCCCACCCCCTGTAATGAACATGCCCCACGCGACTTTTAAACAATCCTGCACTCCCCCCACCCGTGCATCAATCAATATGCTGCCCCAGGCACGTATATATATATACAGCCACGCTGTGCTGACTGTCGACGACCTTTCATGATATATAAGTGAGGATGCCGTGCGATAGCTGCCTTTCACAATCGCTAGAAGTGTTTTTCATCAATGTTTGGATATATAACGTAAGGAACCAACATTTGATTAAAGTTTTAGACAATAATTTTTACTCGCCAACATGGGCGAGTCAGCTTTAGCTTTTACTCGCCCAATATTATTTTAACTCGACATTGGCGAGCGGGTGAGTACCAAGCTCGTTCGCTGTACAGTAAATGTATCAAACGATACATCATACAGTAATTGTTTCTTCACTTTAATAGTATATTGGAACGTGGAAACTTCAAAGAAAATTACCGAAAATGGGACCAAAATATTCAATGCTCCGTCGGACCATTGACTAAAATCTGATGGTCCTCCTGATTATTTGATAGCCCCGGACCATCGGACCATCGCTTATTTCGACCCCTGTTAACCTATTGTCAATACTATTACAATACTATTGACATATTGTGTATTATATTGTTATAAGAGTTATCTATTATTACCTACTCTATGCAAAAATGTTTTGTGTGGGAAAAATATTGGTCCACTCACACACTCAAGCATAGCCAGTAAGATAATTGAGTGGACCATGCATAGATGACTTAGGACCAGTCTACTAAGTTACAATAATGACTGAACTGTCAGTACTAGTTTTCAGACATTTACGTGTGAAAACATTATTAGCAGTAAATAAACTAAACTGGTTTTTTGATGTTGCAAATATAGAAAACCCACTGTTTGTTCAGTGAGCTATCAGAGATTGTTATTCACATTTTACTTTGCCATCAATGCAAGGAAAAACAGTTAATTGATAGTTCGATCCATCATTATACTAAAAGTAAAATGTACTAGTTAGCTCTACTCACCATAGTAGGACACAGCATCTCTACCTTGCTGACGTAACAATAATAGATCATCTTCTAAACTGATAAAATTCAAATATTGGTCATATACCTGCAATAAATTACAAAGGAGCAATGTATTAACCCATAATGTTTGCACATGGAAAAACATTATGTACAACTAAATGCATTCAACAATGTAGTACGGTCAATAAGTGCATATAAATGTGTCAAAACCTGCACCTTTGACAAATGCTTAAATAACCATATTTGAGACACTGTACCATACTGACTGTAAACATAAACATAAATACTACAATCACCAGATGATATAACATAAAAATATAAAAAAGGATGATCTTTAACACGTTCAACGTTGCCGGTGTTAACGATGCACCTACCGCCCTGCGCTGGCATTTTCGGGTTTTTACCGCGTATTCATTTGATTTTTTATTTGATTTACCACATTTCCTTTGCAGGAAAGAGCTCTAACCAAACAGACACATTTACTCTGCATGAGTGTTATCTCACCCTTACACGTTCAAATAGTATGGAAATCGTTCCCCTTCATAATAATATATTGATATGAAAACAGGGCAAAAACGGGCATTTCGTGCATTTTCGTCTCAAATGCCACCGCACCGGTGGATTTTCGCGAGTTTGTTATGATATCATTCAACAGTATACTTTTTTTCCGGTAAGAAATGTGACAACGCTTAAGCATGTGTGGGGTATGAACCTGGTTTTGTGTTTCTACATGCAAAAATACCTCTAAATTTTATATACTACACAGTTATTACATTATATACCGTTAGGAAAACGGTAAACAAACCTTGTTTCGATCTTCGCCTTCTAGTTTACCTTCTAGTTTTAGGAATTTACCTTGAGTCTCAAAACTCATAATTTCACGTTCAAATCAACTGTAAAGCAATATATTCTTTAGTTCATGTAAGACTGGGGTAATATAGACTGTCCCTGTTTAATTTCTAGGTAGGTAGTGCCTGCCATCTGTTGGAAATCAGAGTAACAAAAACCAATAATCTATCCACGAGCTGACTCGTGGATCGGCGGGGATGCGTTTTGATTGTTCCCACGAGCTGACTCGTGGATCTGCGGGGAACGTGTTAAAGAGAATAGTATAGCCATATAATCAGAAGTCTATCAATATTGATAGACTCCTGATATAATAGCAGCTGAGCACAGTTAGGCAAAAGGCATGGCACAGGAAAGTTTAACATGAGTATACTTTGGAAATGTTAGCCACTGCATTTGATTGCAGCACACCGCCGGCTAATTCCTCCAGCCTTTGTCGCGAGATCGCTGATATGAAATTCAAGTAGAATGACTCATATAATTGGTCCTGGCAATCCTGCAGAAAACAGACATGTTTTTAACCTATGAGGATCTCAACGTGTTTCATCAACTATAGCACAGGTATAGTGTGTATGTGCATTCGATGGCCATAAGGAAACACCATTGGGGTTTTAAGAGTTGTGAACAAGACTGCAAATCTCAGGACATTAACCTATTAGATATGACCGACTAATAGGTAACTTTACAAAAAAAAATCACTTGCAAATAAGAACATATTCATTATTTATGCTCTTGATTGCATGCATGCATAACCACCCCGCCCAAACAAACATGCATGGCATACCTGACATATTCTATGTATGTTCTCTTCTGTGGGCATAACAAAATATATGGCTGGAACGTCAGGTACAGAGTCACGATCAGAGTGTAGAAGTCTGTGGTAAATAGATAACTACTTAGACATAGCACAATGGTGTGAGATATGCACTGCCGCATGAAGGTTTCGTGCTCATGCATACCTCAGTGACACTCGGTTTAGTGCCTTTCTACATGCTGCAGAAAAAAAGCAATTATAGCATAAATATTAAATGCAACATCATGATTTATGATTTTCTCTACTTCAATACTTGTATTTTATCAATATATATATATATATATATATATATATGTCTTACAAATGCAGTGTCACTCCCAGGTCCCTAAGATCTTTCTGTGACAGCAGCGGTGCAATGATGTCCTGTCCAAATCGATCGTAAATCAAGATCTAGAAAAAAAATTTATACAATTTTAAGCAAATTCGGCTTCATTTCTTTCCTATCACAGAATAATCTAGTACACACATGTATGTAATATTACTACACTATGTGTAGTCCAGGCATATGAGACAGACAAATGGTGAAAGGGAGGAACATTCTATGGGGGTCTGGGGGCAGGCCCCCCCGAAAATTTTTGAAAATTATAAGAGCTCTCTAAGATGCAATCTAGAGCCATTTCAGGGTACTCCAATAGCTCACAACTAGCAACACTTTTTGGTGGAAAAGGAAGAAATTATGCATATAACATAGTCACTTACTGTAAAATTTTGATGGGCACTGGGGAATTCCGTCTGTGTTGAGTGTGTCCAAAGTAAATGTATTTTGTAGACATACATACTGTACTATAGGCTAGCTACAGCCAGAGGCTTTACGCCAATAATGCGAACCACCTAAGTAACTCCACTATTTATACCACGCTCACGGCCGCTATAGTAGATCCAGTCAGCTAGTGTTAGAATTTGCGCGATGGTGTGCACACGATAGTGGGCGTCCTAAAAATCTTCTAGCCAATCACGTTGCTAAATTTTTCTTCCATAGCTGCGGCTATACGGTTTGGGAAGTTTGGGAATCGCAAATTCGCTCCCCGCCCGCCTATACAATGCTCACTACATAAGATAAATGAACAGTGATACCAGTCGATTGCTGTACTTCGACGTACTCTGCTTTTATCATTATGTTAGCAAGCATACATTAAGACAATGATACGAGTAGAAGCGCTCCGGATAGTTACCGAGTCAGTGTGTTCACATGTACGCGATCGTCCGAGCCCACGGAGGTATTCTTACCCCACCCCCCAGAAAAAAAATATATTTAAAAAAAACTCACGTTAAGTCAGTCAGTACAGTTGCACTCAAAATAACTGACAGAGAACATGACAATAATATCCTATGCTTCTAAAAGGCAGGCAGTATTTATAACACCAACCTTCCATGTTGGTTCAGCACTTTGCTTTGCAGGAACCTGGCCAAAGTTCAGCATCTGCTTCAATGCAGCTACAGAAAAGAGAACAACAACCAATGGATCATGTCATCGTAGCATCGTTGAAAATTTTTGGGATTGAAAAGCGCACGAAAAACTATAATAAAACTTAAATAACCCTAATTACCTCAATGACTACGCCCACCGCATGCCACTCTCGATGTTTACTCGGTGACGTGGCCCTCCCAAATCCCATTGGTTGATACAAATCACGTGCCTCAAACTCCTCAATGACGCCAGTGTTGTCAAGGCACATCCATAATACAGAAACCCAATGATCCTCAATAGCCGAACGCCTAATGCACAGACGACACGGCTGAAATGTAGTTGGATCGAATCCCATCTGTTTTTTAATTATTTTTCTGTTTTCTGTATTTTTCTATGTTTATCGATTTAACTATTTTTTCCCAATTAACGCAAATATTTACATAATTTATTTACAACAATTTAATAACAACAAATTTTTTTTTTCCATAGGGTTAGGGTTAGGGTCACAATGCACCATAAAACAGGAGTTTGAGGCACGTGCTTTGTATCAACCAATGGGATTTGGGAGCTATGCAGGCCCTAGCTGCATGTGTGTAACACAGCTGTATATTTCGCCGTCGTTGAATTTCTCTTGCGTTTCGCGTGATTGACGGAGCAGTTCTTCATTGATTCTCATGCAATAGCGATGTTTCATGCTAATAAACATTGACGTCATATGCGCACATGCGGAGTTTAACGGTTGGCAGCAAGCAGATGCGTGATATTGTTCGATACAAGCACACGCACGCACGCACGCACGCACACACGCAGGCACGTGTACGTGCACACGCACGCACGCACGTCTACGTGCACATGCATGCACGCACGCACGCACACGTACCTGCACACACACGCACGTACGCACACATGCACACACGTGTACCTGCACACGTACACACGCACGCACGCACGAACGTGTACCTGCACACGCGCGCACACGCACGCACGCACGTGTACGTGCACACACGGACGCACGCATGCATGCACGCACGTGTAAGTTTACACGCACGCACGCATGCACGTGTACGTACACACGCATGCACGCACGCACGTGTACGTGCACACGCACGCACACACTCATGCACGCACGTGTACGTGCACACGCACGCACTCACGCATGCACGCACGTGTACGTGCACACGCACGCACGCACGTATACGTGCACATGCACACGCGTGCACACGCACGCACGCACGCACGCACGTGTACGTGCACACACACGGACGCACGTACGCAACGCAAGTTCACACGCACGCACGCACGCACGCACACACGCACGCATGCACGCACGTGTACGTGCACACACACGGACGCACGCACGCATGTACACACGTGTAAGTTCACACGCACGCACGCACGCACGTGTACGTACACACGCATGCACGCACGCACATTCATGCATGCACGTGTACGTGCACACGCACGCACGCACGCACGTATACGTGCACATGCACACGCGCGCGCACACACACACACGCGCACACACACGCACGCACGCACATGTACGTGCACACACACGGACGCACGCACACACTCATGCATGCACGTGTACGTGCACACGCACGCACGCACGCACGCACGTATAAGTTCACACGCACGCACGCACGCACACACGCACGCATGCACGCACGTGTACGTGCACACGCACTCACGCATCACGCACGTGTACGTGCACTACATAAACAGCGCTTTCTATCAGAACATGTGGTCATTCATCTGTAAATGTCAAGCAGCAGGGTTCGCTTTTGCCAACCACAAGACATAACAAATACACGTGACCTGATCTATGACGTCACGTGAAACATCGCTATTAGACCTGCGCGATGGCGTGTGCATATGTTTGGTAGTGAATTAGACCCGCTAAAATTCGAGACTGTTCGCTGGCAGAAATTGATCCGTGCGCCGGCCTTTCGATTTGGCGCACGGATCAATAGCTGCCAGCGCGTGATACTTTCGTAGGACGTTCCCGCGGTCGTGTGCGCCTTGCCGCGAAACTGCGCGCAAGATCCGCGCTCAGCGGGCAGTATCAACACCTCTCAGGCGACGCGTCTCTGGTATCCGGTCTCTCATCTGGTTCGCCTGTGGCCTAGCACTAGAGCTACGTCGGAGGCCACAAACACATTCGCTCTTCGTCCAACAATCCACTTTTCAAAGAATCAGGATGGGGCATATCACCATCAAGGGTCTTTAGAAGTTTCTTAATATGCCCGTCCTTCTGTTTGGAAACTTCTTCAGGGGTATGCAGAAGAGGTAGTTTCAAGTCATTTGCCACCTATGCCAGCAGCAAGAACTTACCTTCTCCCTGACACTGATACTAGCTGTCGTTTCCTCACGAAATCTTTCAAAACTGTCACTGACCAAGTTTCTACAATCTCTAGTTAATAATGTTTTAAATACGTCGTCACTCATATTTATATATGTTAATAATCTAACCCTGTCAGTGCTATGATGAAAATAATAAATTTTGCGCAGAGGATGATATTTTCCATCTACAAAATGCCACAGCCAGCGTTTGTTTATCCCCGTTGTCACCTTGTCCAATATGTGCATCGATCTGCATTTCATAGACTTGTTTACATATATATGCCAACAAAACTAGCACGTGATTTTTGCTCTCGCAAGATGACACTGACCTTAATCCTATCTCTACACTAGGTTAATTACTGTTGTAAGAATTCCAAGATAGGTACCACACTACCGTACTACTGTTATAATAGCAGAAACTCATAATAATTTTTATGCTGAAGTAATCAGCAACATGTACACCAGCTGACAGGTCAGACTAAATTTGTCTCAATTAAATCATTTCTCAATTTATTTGTGAGAAAATCTTTTTAACCAGCATTTGCCACGGTATTATGTTATAATCACACAGTTTGGAAAGGGGTTATTGTTGAAAGTTGACAAACCCCATACTTGCATTACTGCGCATGTGTGAGAACTAATACAAGACTGGCGAATGTGCGTGAAAACCATACAGAATTCAATGAGTATAATGGCCACCTTGTTTTCATTTCTCCCTTAGGCCAAAACAAAATATAGGTGTGGTTACCGTTTCCCGACCGACCCTATTTATTCCCAGCGACCCTAAACATTTTATTGTCAATTTTCTTTAAAAAGTAAAAAAATAAATAAATATGAATTGGAATTGGTGCTTCAAAAGGCACAACGCGCATCCTTCGGACATGGTTCTTAAATAAAATGTTTCAATAAAATAAAATGTTTTCCCTACCTACCTACCCTATTTTTTTTCAGCATGAAACGGTAACCACACCTATATTTTGTTTTGGCCTTATTAAATCTCAAAAATGCTCGCTGATACATAAATACATACTTGGCAATAGCGTGCATAAATGGTGCCGAAGTACAGAGAATCGGTAAGAGCCATCAGAAGTTAACTAGGTATTGTACGTGTTACAGCACTCTGTTAGCTACAACTACAAGGTTTGGTCGCTACATTCGCTTGTGACGTTCTCGCTACATAGTGAGAAGCGAGAAAGGGCCAAATCCTAGTTTAGCAAACAGTTGTCAGAAACAAAATTACTCTTGATATTAGTCTTAACATTAACTTCCACTCGTAAACCGTTGACAGAAACATCGCACTGTTACGAGAATGAAAAATCCTCAAAAATATCCTCTTAACATTACGAGAGACCCCCCCGTAACTTTAATATTAAGATGAAAATAACACATTTACACTACGAATTACAATTATAGTGATATTATATTTTATAATAATGAATAAAATGTGTGTTTTTCTTGAAAACACGTCAAAATCATTCATTATCTACCTTTCATAAAACAAAACAAAACATTTACAAATGGTGTATGGCATTTGTTCTCTTGTTTTAACTACTTTGTCACTTGCCACGACTCTCGCGTCTCATGTTACAGTGTGAGAATTTGTCTTGTTGTGCAGAATAAATTCATGACCATGTCGTTTTTCATCAAATATTATTTACCTGTGGTTAGCCATCATAATATGCATAAATTACTGTGATGTACAATAAATGTGTATGAATTTGAATTAAATTGTGATCGATTCTCATCGAATCAGCAGCCTTGTGACATGAAATTATGAAGTTCATGTTATCGTGAGTTTGCTCGTAGCTACGATGTGTTTCTGTCAACGCTACTCTCGTAACGTTAACATTAGTGGTAAGTGTTATCATAGCATTAACATTAACATTAACTTTACAATGTTTCTGACAACGGCCCAAAATGATTTGTTTAGCATGTGAAAATGTGGTCTGGGGTCCCAAACTATGCTTGATCCGGCTTGTGCACCAACAGGCAACTTGTGCTGTGGACTGTGGTGTACCATTCAGCGCCATGTACAATGACGTGGTTAGCGTGAAAATGAACGAGCACAAGACAGTCGACACGGTGTTGCCTAAGTATTGGCCGTTACTCGGTGAGGCATTACTCGTAGCTGATCTTTCAATATATAGTCAAGATGCAAGATTCAAGAAATTTGTTTGTGCATAAGACCACAGGCCTTTGGAAGTTGGAGGCTCAAGTTTCAAGAAGAGTATCAGAGCGAAGCGGAATATATTCTCGCCGCTTCGCTCTTACAGGTACCAGGGGCCCGTTGTCAGAAACATCGTAAAGTTAATGCTAATGTTGATGCTACGATAACACTTACGACTAATGTTAATGCTACGAGAGTAGCGTTGAGAGAAACACATCGTAGCTACGAGCAAACTCACGATAACAGGAACTTCATAAGTTCATGTCACAAGGCTGCTGATTGGATGAGAATCGATCACAAAATTCAAATTAATAAACATTTATTGTACATCACAGTAATTTATGCATATTGTGATGGCTAACCACATATAAATAATATTTGATGAAAAACGACACGGTCATGAATTTATGCTGCACAACAAGACAAATTCTCACACTGTAATGCTTTAACGCGAGACGCGAGAGTCGTGGCAAGCGTGGCAAGCATTTCAAACAAGAGAACAAATTTATGCCATACGCCATTTGTAAATGTATTGTTTTGGTTTACGTTCGGTAGATAATTAATGTTTTTGACGTGTTTTTCAAGAAAAACACATAATATTACTCATTAATATAAAATATTATATTACTATAATTGTAATTCTTTAATCGAAGTGGCTACGCGTCCGGAACCGGTCGCCTAGCCTCCAGACTACGCATCCGGACATCCACTCACACAGTGATCGCGCGACTCGCGTACACGCATGATTGCGCAAGGGGACGCTCTGCTGCCGTCTATCCTTTCATCCGTCCTCTCTCGCTCTCTCTCTTTCTCACACACACACATACACATGCGCGCTGCTCTCTTTCTCTCTCTCACGCATACACACACACATACACATTCCCTCTCTCTCTCTCTCACACACGCACGCACGCACGCACGCACGCACACACACACGGCAATCAGCAGAGCGTCCCATTGCGCAATCATGCGTGCACGTGTCGCAAGCTCACTGTGTGAGATGGATGTCCGGACGCGTAGCCTAGCGGCTCCTCGTCCGGAACCGGTCGCGTAGCCACGGCCTTCTTTAATTTCTTAGTCTAAATGTATTATTTTCATCTAAATATTAAAGTTACGAGAGGGTATGGGCTCTCGTAATGTTATAAGGATATTTTCGAGGATTTTTCCTTCTCGTAACATTACAATGTTTCTGTCAACGGTTTACGAGTGGAAGTTAATGGTAAGACTAATGTTGCGACTAATTTTGTTTAGACAACGGCCTCCGGTACTCTTCTTGAAACTTGAGCCTCCAAGGGCCTGTGGCTGTGATAAGACGCACGAATACAAGTTATATACAATCACACATTAACTATAAGTATAACTATAACTATAAGTCGGTGAACAAAAAAACAAAACAAATAGGCCTACAATCATTTACATTACCCATTACTCATTACTCATTGCTACTACTACTAGTACTACTCATTGACATTACTCGTTACTCATTACTACATTACTGTCATTAGTACTAAATCAGTAAATGTAGCCCTTTTTTTCTCTATAACCCCTTGGACTGAGAAATATACGTAAACGAGTTATTTGCGTATAACACGCGCGTATGCGCTATTTACAAAACTAATGTTTAAATACTATCGCCCAGTCTCATAATAAATATTTAATTTGCAAACTTACCACTCTGTTTCTCTCTAGCGGACGCCGCCATGTTAGTTGCGCTACTAGTACGCAATGTCGCCGTTACGTGGCACATCGAGGACGGGTGTTGCTATGCCCCGGGCGCGCCTTTCCGTTTTACACCGCGGCCTAGGCAAACCGACTGGTGAACCAATCAGAGTCTATGTATCATCTCGCGTGACGCGCGAAGCATGGTGAGGTGGTGGAGAAGGAGGAGGGGAGAAGCTGGTGGAGAAGGAGGAGGGGGAGAAGCTGGTGGAGAATGAGGAAGGGGAGAAGGGAGAAGCTGGTGGAGAAGGAGGAGGGGGAGAAGCTGGTGGAGAAGGAGGAAGGGGAGAAGGGAGAAGGTGGTGAAGGAGGAGGGGAGAAGCAGGTGAAGAATGAGGAAGGGAAGAAGGGAAAAGCTGGTGGAGAAGGAGGAGGGGGAGAAGCTGGTGGAGAATGAGGAAGGGGAGAAGGGAGAAGCTGGTGGAGAAGGAAGAGAGGGAGAAGCTGGTGGAGAAGGAGGAAGGGGAGAAGGCAGAAGATGGTGAATGAGGAGGGGAGAAGCTGGTGGAGAATGAGGAAGGGGAGAAGGGAGAAGCTGGTGGAGAAGGAGGAGGGGAGAAGCTGGTGGAGAAGGAGGAAGGGGAGAAGGGAGAAGGTGGTGAAGGAGGAGGGGAGAAGCTGGTGGAGAAGGAGGAAGGGGAGAAGGGAGAAGCTGGTGGAGAAGGAGGAGGGGAGAAGCTGGTGGAGAATGAGGAAGGGGAGAAGGGAGAAGCTGGTGGAGAAGGAGGAGGGGAGAAGCTGGTGGAGAAGGAGTAGAGGGAGAAGGGAGAAGCTGGTGGAGAAGGAGGAGGGGAGAAGCTGGTGGAGAAGGAG